TGAAAGTAACGGGACACAGTGTGAAAGTAACGGGACACAGTATGAAAGTAACGGGACACAGTGTGAAAGTAACGGGACACATTGTGAAAGATACGGGACACATTGTGAAAGTAGCGAGAAACAGTGTGAAAGTAACGAGACAGTATGAAAGTAATGGGACACAGTGTGAAAGTATATATACACATATTTACATATATATAATGGCATTTTAAACCCTTCCCACGCTCTCGCAATATTCTAAACAATGTTTCTAAACTCTAAACGCTCTAAAAGAGCATAGAATGTCATGATTTCCCGCTCACTGCCTCTGCTGCTCTCAGCCACCTGAAAGCATTCTTGGCCACGCCCACTTATCTCTCTGCAAGGACATCAGCTGATCAGCTGTAGCAGGAAGCTGTTTCTTAAGCTGTGGGCCGCACAAAGGTGCAGCAGATGCTAAATCTTTGACTCCTTGAAAATTCCATGCTGATTGTGCGGCTCATCCATCAATCAACCAGTTGTGTGTCATGTCCAATCTTATTTTGAAAAACCATGATAGAGCGGGTCTGTGAAAAATAAACCATGAAGTAGTGAGTGACTACTGTACTCTCTGTCACCTGCAGATCAAAACTTAATATGCAAAGACACCGATTAACACATTAACAGCTGGAATAACATCATTTTGTCTCATTCGTTTCATGCACTTACGTTTTCTAATCCTTGTATTTTCTCTTAAGTTGTGCAATATTTTTACTTTAATCTCTTCATCTAAGCCATTCCACAAAATCACTCCACAAATGCTTTTAATAGTGCTGTAAATTACATTTGCTTTGAATTACATTTTCCTCTCAGTTCGTACCTTCCCTCTCTATTCTTAAAAAAGTTTTGAATATTGTTTGGAAGCATATTATTTTTAGTTTTGAACATCACCTGTGCAGTTTTAAATTTGACTAAATCCATAAATTTCATAAGCTATGATATTTGCGTTGTACCTCGGTGCAATTCCAATAAAGTTTACTCTGATTCTGAAAAAATAAAAAGTTGATTGGTGTGTTCACGATACCAAACATTGTGAAACAACCTTATTGCTCTTTTTTGTATTATGCATATTTTTTGTAAATAACTTTTGTTTATATTACCCCAAACTTCAACACAATAATCTAAATAAATATGCCAGTAACTGAGTGTAATAAAGAGTGTGCAGAGATTTAATGTTCAAGATATGGATTGTTTTTCCCAATTTATTTATTTTATTAACCTTTATTTAATCAGGTAAATCCCACTGAGATCACAAATCTCTTTTGCACGGGAGGCCTGGGCCTGAAGGCAGCCTGACACATGTTTTAGGTCTGTGGGAGGAAACAGGAGTTCCCGGAGAAAACCCACGCAAGCACGAGAAGAAAATGCAAACCCCACACAGAAAGACCCCAGGTCCAACTGGGGATTGAACCCAGGACCTTCTTGCTGTGAGGCAACAGTGCTAACCACTGAGCCGTTGTGCTGTCTATCCCTATGGTTTTAGACATCTTATAGTTAATATGGGATTTCCAACAAAATTGTGGTCCAAAATTACACCCAGAAATGTATCTTCAAACTCTCGATATCAATTAATACATAATTTATCTCCATTTTAACATTTGTATCAATATTAAAATTTACAATGAAGATATATTTGGTTTTAGATAAATTTCAAGATAATTTGTATCAAACCAACATTTAGGTTTATCCATTTAAATGACTAATTTATATCTAAAAGCTAATATTTAACCTCTCTGCTGCAGGACATCACCAGCCTGCTCCACACCATCTACGAGGTTGTCGACGCCTCCGTCAACCATTCTTCCGGCAGCAGTAAGACGCTGCGGGTCAAGCTCTCCGTGGCGCCTGACTCCAGCCAGCAGTGGAGGAGTTGTGCGCAGGGTGCGACAGGTAAAGCTCGCGTTAACGCGGTGGGCGGCGGCGGCGGAGAAAAGAGGGCATTCTGAGCTTCCCTCTGTGTCGCCTGCTGTCAGCTCACTCAGAGACGTGTTTGTTGTCGCGCAGAAAGGCGGCCGCTTCAGGCCTGTCAGAGCTTTGTTCCTCGTAGTCCCCGTGTCGCTCCATCCCTCCCACTCAATGGGGTTCATTTTTAATGATTGGAGGGGGTGGGGGTGACTGAGCCAAGAGAGGAGCCCCCCTCCCTCCCTCACTGCCATCAAACGGTCTAAAAGAAACCTTAAAAGATGAGCCAAGTCCTTTTGATAACCACAGCCATTTTTCTTTTCTCCACTGTTCCCTTTTCTTCCTCTCTTCTCCCCCTCTCTTTGTCCTCTTTTCTCAGAGCTGCCGGGAAAATATAACAGTGTTCAACTTCACTTTTCTCACTGACGTCTTGGTAAACAAGTAGTCATCGGGAAAAAAAGCTCAAAAAGTATATATTCCTATGTGTTTGTGTCCTATTGTTTTGGCTATAAATATCTATCGAGAGATTCAGAGCGAGCTTTGAACATACTGCCTTCATGCTAATTTCAAATTGCATCACATCCCAATAAAACTATTTCTGAAGCCCACTTTTTTTTATTATTCTCCCGTTTTTTATAAGAAGATGGGAGTTGAAAATAGAATAAATGAAGCACTGTTGTTTTTCCTTGTCTAGAGATCTTCAAAGTGAAACCCGTTAAACAAAGGTTGCTTTCTTCTAAGTCTTATGTGACTGTTGTTGTGCATCTGTGTGTGCGTGTGGCTGCTTTGTGTTGCACTGTTTGATAATAGCCTTCTGTCTTTTTATGCATACACAGACGTGCCCCACTCCAGGGACAAAAACGACAAGTGCATCGACGACCCCAAGAGTGCAGACAAGAAGTCTCGAGCACTCCTAAGGTCAACCCAACACATTTCTAACCTTGTGGTGCTTGCAGTGTGCTCATAGAGAAATAATTTGTTTTAATGGCACCAGTTCTACCTTCCACTTCTTACATCAACACAATATTCACTGGTAGTGGAAGCTGAAAACTGTAATTTTGCGTTGCTAATCTCAATGCTTTAACAATCGCTCTGCCTCTGGCTGAACACGAGCAACACTTGTTTATTTTCCTCAAACTGCCTCCTAATGAGAGGTGCCGCTCATGTCCGCAGGCGCCACCACAGTGACCACCACACCCAGCCTGGCTGCCAGCGCCACTGTGTGGATGAGAACCTGGAACGCAGGAACCACTACTTGGACCTGGCAGGCATTGAAAACTACACATCCCGCTTTGGAACCGGTGAGTGGACCGAGGCCAGGCAGGGGAGAGGAGAGGGAGGAAGGCAGGCCGTGGCTCTTTGAAGCTCCGTCCAGGGCCACTCATTACTGCGGCACCTGTTCAGAGCCGTTAGGTGGAACTACATGTTCCTCGCCAGAACAAACATCTGGGCTCAGGCAAGCACAATATATCAAGTGTTCAAGGCCAACCCTCATCAACAGAACGGGTTTTGTGACGTGAAATTTTAGTTTTAATAAGCTGCAGTCTTGATCCCCAGCTCAGAAATGACATGCAAATGTTTTGATTTTGGTAAGGAAGTGCTAACAGGGATCGGCTCTGAGACGTGTTGGGGTCATCTGCAGGGAAACAGACTCCTCAGAGCTTTGTTATAGCATTGGTGGCACCGTAAATTACATGCTACGCTTTGTCTTCAAAGTGGAGCCACGGCAGAGGGTGTTTTCAAAGGCACGTTGAGTTTAAGTAAAGTGTAAGATGTACAGTGTACATGACAGGGAGCTCAGGGGAAAAATGATACAAGGATGCAAAAAAGTTGTTGACTAACACAGCAAACAAAGCTGCTGGATGTGTTTTGATCACATGCTTTGCTCCCTTTTCACGGTTTACTTCGAACAGATGAGAAATATTCATGCTGAACACCCTTTTTTGTTCGCAGTTGTTTAAAGTGCACATCTGTGTCCGTGTCTTTATTTCAGCTCCAGCTGCAGAACCAGCTAAAGTGGAGACTCAGACCCGTTCGTCTAACCAGGCTCGTTCTCGCTCCCAAGAACCGGAAAATGTCCCCTCCCATTCCCACCACCGCCGTTTGCAGACAGTTGTGGACGCTACTGCTGCTCCAGACCCCAGCGGTCATCCCACCCGCCTCAAAGGCCAAGACTCAGGGAGGCATGGCATCCGTTCTCCGAAGACCCACAGTCGCACGCCTCCAGCGCAGATCAGTGGCCGGGTGATGAGGAGCCGAGGCGCTCCCCCTCCCCCAGCTCTTCCTAGTCAGATCCCCCCTCATCAGTCTGCGGCTCCCTACCGCAAACACAAACAGCGATCAAAAGAGAGCTACCGGGCCTTGGGCTCTCTTGTACCAGGTCCAGTGGTAGAAAAAGAGCAGGTGAGGGAGCTGCCCAGTGTGGTGCTTTACGAAGGTGGACTGGCTCAAGTAGTGCAGCGGCACGAGCATCACCATCATCACGAACACCACCACCACTACCATCACTTTTACCAGTCTTGAATTTCCATCTTGTCAGGGACAGCTCCGCTCTTCTGGAGTCCCACAGAGCCTGACTGGACCAGAAGACACTGACCGCAGGGAATGTCCTGATCAAACAATGTGCAGCTGGTCGTGCAGTGATGGACACAGGACATGAGGGAAAGGATTCGCTCCGTGCTGAAATGTTATGAACCAGTGTTATTACAGAGTTGGTCAGACATACGGAGGCTTGGGTACGCAGCAGGTCAGATCCAGGACCACAGTGCAGCAGAATGGGACTAAGAATCGGGATAAGGCCCAACAAGAAGAACAGTGGAACCCCTTCAAACCAGCACCACGACCCTTCCCAGACCACTATGCCAAATGGAGATGAAGGGAGAAGACTTAATTGTACTTAAAGATGAAAATATATGAAGGAATTTAAGTGAAAAGAGCAGGATGCAGTAAAGATTTGTATCCAAATGTACAACTCAGCGAGCGTAGCTAAAGTTCGACTGTTTGTATCCAAGTGTCACAACACTGGTGTCTGTTATAAACCACTTCAAGTACACTTATGGGTGCATGAGCATTTAAAGCAAGTTGACACATGGGTTTGTGAAGATAAAAATGTATGCCCACTAAACTGTTAAAGCAGAAACGGAAAGGAAAATGTCGAAGTGTAAGAATTCCCAAATCTGCTGCTACCTCTAATTTCATCCAAACTGTTGGGACGTTCATGAAGCGTTCTGAGGTTGTTTTCAAAATCACTTCGAGACATTGTGGAAAGGAGAAATCATGTTCTGCTCAGAAATGTGGAAAACCTACTTACATTTCTTAACTAATATTTGCTGTACATAAGGTATTTATATACTGGTCGATTTTATAAGCTTAACTGATAACGTGATATTCATGTATTTGCTATGAAAACTGTTTTCTTCACAGCTGCGTCTTTTTGTTATGACCACTAGGAGCATCAGCAGAATATGTATTACTCTGGTAGCGACTCCCCACTTTCATTCTCTCCGTTTAAAGTTCTCACTTTTACCGACTCTCAACAGTGCTTTGCAGTAGTTCTTATGGACGTTATTCATCAGTACACCTGCCAAAGCTGTTCTGTTTGTAGATAAAATAAAACTGAAGGTGCTCAGATCTGATAAACTTGCATACAATTAAACTGTTAGTGTACAACTAGACAGTGGGTTCCTTTTTTCTTTCTTTCTTCTTTTCTTTGTGCAGAGAAACTTTGCATACACATGTCCTGCAACATTTGTAAACACTTTTTTTAGGTTAGTGGTCTTCACGTCTCAGCAGCCTTGTTACCGTGGCTCACGATCAGCTGCTCCCACTGTTTCCATGACATCCTCCTGCCCCCCAGCTGTCAGCGGGTACTTCATGCCGCCGTGGGGCCTTGGTGCTCGGCCAACAGCGCTGTTTGTGACGCGCTCAGGCGAGGGCTTCCAGCTGTCTCATTCCTCTGGTGCCGGGTAACACAGAACTCGACCTGCAGTCTCCACTACACTCATAATTCCTCACTCACGTCTCCTGTCGCGCCAGCAGCGGGGACATTTGTCCGATTCTGTCAAGTCTTTTTGTTTTTCTCATTTGAAACGGAGTGAGCTCAAAGAGCTGCTGCTGTGAGAGTGTTCATGACTTTTATTCTTGGTAAGCTCGTATGCGCCTTTTTTCAGCACCTTCAACAATCCTGTCAGAATAAAAATTAAAAAAAGAAGAAAGAAAAGACTGGCCTTGTGTTGCTGCAGGTTTTTTGAGGATTTTAGTGTCCTGCTCAGAGGCAGTCCTTACAGATTGGGTGGATTGTACAAAGCAGAACAAGTGTTCAAACTGTTTCCTCTAATTGTGTGAGTGCTTATGAAACATTCTATTGTGATCCATTTTTTTCTGTATGTTTTTCAACATCTTTAACATTTTTGTGCTTCTTCTAACGTCTTTCTGCTAATTTCAGCTTGATATGGTCCTTTCAGCTTATTTCTGTTTCAGTTATTTCAGATAATTTTACTATTTAGTCGTTTTATGCTAAATTTTGCTTTTTCGGCTAATTCCACATTTTTCAAGGTTCAAGATTTTTTATTTGTCATACGCACCACATGTGGTACATGTGGTGGAACGAAATTGTGTACACAGGGTCCCAGTTACATCCAACAAAAGTATAAAATGTAAAAGAAAAACAGTACTAAGATCTAAGCTATGAACTCAGAAAAACGTTAACTAGAAATACACTAAGCACTAGTAGCACAGAAACAATACGCCGAACATGAGTCTGTGTGAGCAGATGAGCACGCACGAACACATCAACATAAAACGGATCAGCAGCTTCATGATGTGATATTTTTCACAGTGATTATTCTGGTTAGAGACTCATGAGTCTAACAGCCTCCGGGTAAAAGCTGTTCCTTAGTCTTGTGGTTTTGCACTTAATGCTCCTTAACCTCGTTCCTGAAGGGAGCGGGGCAAAAAGTGTGTGTGCTGGGTGAGTGGGGTCCTTCATGATGCAGGTGGCTCTCTTCCTGCATCTGGAGATGTAGATGTCTGTGATGGTGAGGAGGCTGACTCCAACAGACTTCTATGCAGCCTTCACCACACTCTGCAAAGTTTTTCTTTCTGCAGCTGTGCAGCCTCCATGCCACATGTTGATGCTGTCACATGCTCTCCACTGCTCACATGTAGAAGGAGGTGAAGACTGAGCTTCCCAGACCAGCTCGTCTCAGCTTTCTGAGGAAGTAGATTCTCGGATGAGCTTTCTTGATCAGGCTGGTGGTGTTGTTGCCCCAGCTGAGGTTGTCATTCAGGTGTGCACCCAAGTACTTGTAGCTGGAGACCACTCCCACTGCAGATTCTCTTATGTTCAGATGAGGTAAGCGTGTTTCTTCTTTCTGAAGTCCACGACCATCTCCTCCTCCTTCTTCACATTGATGTGAAGGTTCTTCCTGCAACAGCTCTCCAGGTGTTCCACCTCCTGCCTGTAGCTGGACTCATTGTTGTTTGTGATGCATCCCACCACCACTATATCATCTGCAAACTTTACAATATGACAGCCTGGATGGGTAGGTGCGCAGTCATACATGAGCAGAGTGAACAGGAGAGGTCTCAACACACATCCCTGAGGGGAGCCAGTGCTGAAGGTTATGGTGGAGGAGAAGTTGTGGATCCTCACTGACTGTGTTCAGTTTGTTAAGAAGTCTAGGACCCAGTTGCAAATTGTGGGGCTTAGTAGTGTGAGTAGTTTTGGCACTCGTTTCAACATTTTTCAGCCTAATTCAGCAAAAAATGTGCTCTCTCAACTGGCTTCTGGTAATTCAAGCTTCTTCCTGCTATTTTAGCTACTTTTCAGCTTTTTTGGGTGCTAATTTCAGCTTTTTCAGATAATTTCTACTGTTTTGTGCTAATTTCTACTTCTTTCAGCTTAATTGGGCAAAGATGTGATCTCTATATTTTCTTCTGCTACTTTAAGCTTGTTCTACCTTTTCAGTTAGCGTTTTAGCTGTTTTCAGATAAATTCAAGGTTTTTGATGTAATTTCTGCTACTTTCAGCCTAATTACGGTAACATCTTTATGCTAATTTCAGCTTTTTTTTCTGGTACTGAGCTTTTTCTGCATTTTCAGCTTCTATTTATCTGTTTTTACGTTAATTTTAGCGTTTTCAGCTAATTCCACATTTTTAGCTCATTTCAGCTTTTTCTGCTTCCTTCTGATTGTTTAAACGTCTTTTTGCATTTTCAGCTACTTTTAGCTAATTTCAACTTTTTTTTGTTGCCAATTTTTGTTCTCATTTCTGCTTATTTAAACCTAATTCAGCAAATACACGTTTGTTCGGCTTTCTTCTGCTAATTTAGGCTTTTTCTTCCAATTCAGCTACATGTCAGCATGTTTTTAGCTAATTCCAGCGGCCTTTCAGCAAGTTCTGAAACAAGAATTCACACTGCATTTTCGCAGGAAATGCAATTTGTCTAGTTTTATTTGTTTTAGACTTTTGCAGTCATGTGCAGGAATGTTGTCTCCCCCCCCAGCTTTCTGTCACAGATCACTCTGTAGCACCGGCGCCAGTCAGACAGGTATAGGAGAAAACGGCCCACAGTTCCAGATGCTGCGATTCATACCTCAGCTTCTTCACCTCACGAGACTTGTCCCACAACTCAAACACAACACAACTCTTTTACTTCTTCTTGTCAGTTCTTTCACCCCAGTTTTTTGATGCCAGTTTTTAAATGTGAGCCGTGTGGAAACGGTCATCTTGTTGTGTTGAAAGGAGACTTTTCATCCAGCGGGGTGGTCTGATTTGTCACGGCGAGGTGAGAGAATTTGGTTGAGGGAGACTCACGACTGCTTGGCAGTCCTTTAAACTCCTTTTACTCAGAGTTTAAGGAACACATAAATCACCTTGTCTTGTTTAATGCCTTTCCTCATGTTCAGACAAACTAGAAGCTTCAGAAGTATTTAATCGAGGGCATCATTTGTTCAGGGTTCACAGCAGTTATTTCTAAATGCTATACAAACTGGCTTTTATGGATCAAAACATTTAAAAGTGTTCTCTAAAACTTATTCTCCTTCTTACTGCTGGCATAGTGACTTTTATTCCCATTTTTGTTCAGGCAAATAATGTGTGCACCTATAGTCAAATTTTTATAAATGCTCCATCCTCTTCTACTGTAAAAACATTCAATCACTTCATGTTGTTCTAGTATCCTTCACTAATTTATCTGTATGGTCCATGTATCAACATTTGTTTAAATCCTGTGTAAATGGTGGACTGTAGAAATGTTGGACCAGCATCATATAGAAAGATTATAGGCCTAATTTATAATTAACTGTAGTTTAATCATTTCCACAAGATTACTCAGTATGGAGAAGAATTATCTGTTTTACCTCGGACTTCCACTCATTACATTTCTTGTAAACTTGTTTAACTCATCCTCCGCCTTCCCTCCATCATATTCTAATGTGTTTTTCCTTCTTCTTTTGTTTCATGACTTTGTTTAGTTTATATTCAATTTAATTTTGTTATTTATTGAATAGCAGATCTTTTGCCAAGGGGAATTCCCTTTTATTAAAATATACTCCTGTACCTTATAAACTGGCTGGCTCCTGTAAATTATTATTTGTGCTGATGTTGCACATAACTTATATCACTGCCAACATTTTTGCAGAAAAGTGGCATCAAAGGTAGGTGACAACCACATTAAATTCAATTTCGAGATGGAAATTCCTTATGCAGGTACTTTCTGTTGTCTACTTTGTGATTTCTAACAGGCTGTTGAAGAAGATGTCCAGTTACATCTAGTCTTTCCACTTTGCTTCAACCAGTCATGGGAGGCTCCTGAAACTGTCTGACAACAGCCAGCTTCTCACCGCGTCACGCTCTCAACATAAATACACACTTTCATCTGCAGCTTAGCAGCTTATCTCTGGCCGTGGAAACCACAGAGAGTCTGCCTCTTGGCAATGTGATACGGCTACCTCTCACAGTTATTTGTGAAAGCAAGCTAGTGTAACCAGGCTGCTACTGAAACTCACGTTACCAAAGTTTTTCTCGCCAGTATAATACATATCTCAGCTTTAAACTGAAAAATGTGCTGCTTTAAAAGTCCTTTGATTTCTGCAGGTTTTGTTCGTTTTAGTACTTTAACGCAGCCACTAAAATAAAAACATAGCTTAAAAGCAAAGCTTTCCTTGAAGGATGGCCTTTTATACCAGAGTATTAAGACTAAGACGGTCTTAAGTTGAGAAATGATGGAGTTGTAGACATTTTAGTCAAACTTTTAGCTCAATATTTGTAAAAGTGACTGGGTTATAGCCATTTGTGTGATTTCTGATGTTGATTAGCTTTGGTGTCCATCTTGAATTGGGTGGACTCCAACAGTTAATCTGTTATAAATGTACATTCAGTGATTAATTTCTGCGTTTTATTGAAATTTGTCCTGCAGTTCTTGAAATATTTTGGTAATGCACACACCACCCACACACACACGCAGAAATGGGAGAAGACAGAGGGCAGTAATGGATCAGTGGGGGGGGGGGGGGGGGGGGGGATATGGGACACAGGTTCTCAACTTGGTAATATTATGAACGTGATGTGCAAAAAACTCAAACTCATTAGTCACACCACCACAACTTGACAGCAGAAAATGTCAAATGCATTGTTTCA